TTATTATTAGAATACTATTAAAAATCTTTTATAAGCTTTTAATAATACTAGCACTCGCGGGTAGATTAGTAATAAAATTTATTATTATTTTTTTCTAAAATTTTATAGATATAAATAAAGATTTTAGTAGTTTTTATTATTTTTTATAAATTATTTTATTATCTTAATATACTCTGTAGACCCGGCAGTATTTATTTATAAAACTATCTATTCTTAATTATTAGAATTATTATAATATTAATATCAGTATTTTCTTACTTGCAAAGTAACCCGCGATAGAATTATTATATAATTTTATAAATATCTAAAGCTTAAGAGTATATTTATTTAGAATATATAATTATTCTGTTTTTTATAAAAGATTTTTATAATTCTTTTATTATAAAATCTTATTTACTTTCTTTTTTCTTTATAGCTTAAAGTCTTTAGAATCTTTTAATTCTTTATAAATTTTTTATATTTATTAATTTTTTATTAATATTACAGGCACTGCGGCTAGCAGCTTTGTAAAAAAATTCTTATAATATAATTTCTCTGTAATAATAATATTATCTATTATCTTTTTTCTATAATTTTCTATATATTTAAGATATACCCGCGAGTAAGAATCTATCTAATATTTATAAATAAAGCTTTTATTTTTATATTCTCTAATTTTTATAATTTAAGCAGATTAGATAATTATTACAGAACTAATTTATCTAGTTTCTTGTAATTTTTAATTATTATCTTTTTTTTATAATCTAAATATTATAAGAATATATCTATAGAATTCTGCACGCCCGGATAATAAATAAGATAAAATTAAAATATTATAAATTATTATATTTATTATATCTATCTTTGTAATAGCTCTGGGCTTATCGCGAAGTATTTAAGACTTTTATAATTAATAAATATCTCTATTGCAAGATCTGCTCTCTCTAGTTAGTAATACTATTTTTTAAATAACTCTATTATTATAAATAATTTTTAATTATAAATTCTATAATTTCTTTTAGCTGTAATTATCTTTTATAAATAAAATATAATTAAAATTTACTAGCTGTCTATATTTCTCTATAATAATATATTATTAATTATAAAACTAGATATATCTGTTTTAATATATACTTGCTTCTCTTTTTTAAAATAAATAATTATAATATTCTCTGTAAATACTATCTTTAGCTGCTTAAAACTTTTATAAGTATTAATTATAAAAAATCCTGTGCCAGATTTTCTTTTTTTTTTCTTGCAGGATTTTTTAATAAGATCTGTAAGTAAGATTATTATTTATAAATATTCTTAAATAAATTATTAATATTAATTTATAAATTTTATAAATTATAATATATTTTTTATATTCTATGGCTCTGATTACTTGCGAATTATTATAATCTATTCTAATTTTATTTATATATCTTCGCGGCTAATAATAAATTCAAGAAAATTAATCTCTATTTATACAAAGTAGTACTTACTTAGCTTTATATATAGATCTGTTTTGATTAAAATATATATAACTTCGCGAACTTGTTTCTTATATACTTTTAAATTTTATAAGTATATTATAATATTATTAAGATAAATAATCATAAAATTATTTAAATACTCTGTGAATAAGAAATTTATAAAATCTTAAAATCCCGCGGATATATTAATTAGTCTAAATAATATAACTAAATACTTAAATAAGTTATATTTTATTTAAAAGATTATTTTTTATTTATAATCTATTATAATTCTTATTCTGTAATAGACTTTATAAAAATTAAATTATATAAATTATAATATCCCTGCAAGCTGATTAATATAGTTATTAATTTATAATAGTAGATACTTATTCTTAATAGTCTATTTATTTAGCTTATAATAATTAATATATACTTATAAGCTCTTATTCTTTTTCTTTGTGAAGAGAACTAATACTCTGATAAATAATTTTAAATATTAGATTTATTTATATATAAGATATTCTTATAAATACTCCCAGAGTACTTTCTACTCCGCGGATAATATTTTATAGATTAAATTTATTTTTAATTTATAATCTTTCTTTAGATTAATCTTTAGATTAATATCTAGTTATAAAAATAAACAGTCTGTTACTTTATTCTCTGTAAATATTATTTTAAATTTATAAAACTATTCTGAAAGTACTTCTGAATCTATTTCTTTATAGATAGATCTAATTATTATAACTTATAATTATTTAATCTCTAATTCTTCCGCGAGAAACTTTATTGCAGTAATATATTATATTTTAATTTATTATTTTTTATAAAATCTTAAATAGTACTGATTAAACTCTGTAATAAGAATCTCTATCTAAATTTATAATATATCTAATATAACTTTCTCTGTATTAGATATTATAATAATAATTTTTTTATAGATCTCGCGATTATTTTCTATATCTATAAGATTAATCTTAAATATTATAGTTTCTTTTAATTAAATATTATTATTACTTAATAATCTTATAAAAATCTTTATAAATACTATTAATTATTCTGCGGTCTTTATTATTATTATAAATATTAAATTTATTTTTATATCTATATTAATCAAGATATTAATCTTCTTAAGTAGATTAGTTTTATTCTGCGTGAGTAGTTACTCTTATAGTCTTAGAATAAAATATATTATAAAAGATATATCTGTTGATTTATTATAATTTATTCAGATTATAAATTATTTCTCAGAGTTTTTATTCTTATATTAATAATAGTCTTTTATAATATAATCTTGCTTTCTGCAGTTAAAATATTTTATTATTTTTATAGATATTGATATAAAATCTTGCAGGATAGATATTTCTAATATATTTAATTATAGAATATCTCTCTATAAAAATCTTTTATAATAGTCCTGGCTATTAGATTATTTTATCTAATTTATAAATAATAGTAACTTTCTTTCTTATAAATAATCAGTCTTCTTATTTTATTAATTAATACTTAATCTTAGTTTCGCGAGTAATATAATTAGATCTTATTTAGTAATAAAAAAATCTAATTGTTTATAAATCTTTTATTTTATATTTTATAGAAATAATTTAAAGAATAAATATAACTATATAGTATTTAATTTCTATATTTTATAATCTAGCTCTGTCTTTATCTTCTTTTAGTATTATAGATATATAAAGTTTTTTTTCTCTTATAAAAAATTATTCTTAAAATTTATAATTATATCTTCTATCTATAATTCTTTGAATTATCTAGCTATATCTTAAGAAATTTATAAAGACCTGCTTAATTATTCTTTTAAAAAAGCTTTATAATTTTATTTTTTTATAGATTACTAAGTATATAGTCCAGATAGACTATTATAATCTATATTTATTAATTCTTATTCTAGTTATTAGCCTCCGCGATAGACTTCTGCTGAATAATAAATAATTAAAAAACAGTATAATTATAAGTATTATAATATTTACTATTTTATAAAGAATATATATATATATCAGTCTTTTTTAATTTTATAGATAAGATATCAGAGTTACTTAGAAATTTATAAGTTTTCTTATTATTTACAAAAATTCTGAGTCTCTGCTCTAATTCTATGATTTATTAAAATATATTTAATTATTTATAAAGATTCTTAGAGAATAGTAGAATTATATTTACTTTAATTATTTTTTTTATAATAACTTCGCGGTTAGTCTTCAGGAGATTAAAAGAATCTTTATAAATATAATATCTAATATTTTATATAGATATAGTTTTAATAGACTATCTTACAGGTTTCAAGTAATAAGATTATAAGAATATATATTAAGATAGTATAAAAAAAATATATTTATTACAAAGTTAAGATAGTAATTATATTACTTAAAGTATTATTACTAGTCTTTTATCTAGCTTCTCTTATAGATAATATATTCACAAGAATTCTGTGAGTTATATATTATACTAGTATAATTACTTCGCGAGGGACTGTCTCCGCAGTATAGGCATTCCTTGTGATATATTATATCACAAGGGTTATAAGGATTACTATCCTTATATTAGGTGCAAAAGTGAGGTGAAAGTGAGAGAAAGATAAGAGAAGTAAAAAATAAGAAGAATTAGAGATCAGATAACTAAGTAAGAACTTTTCTCTGATCTCTTAGAAAGACTTTACTAAACTCTTATTTTCTTATATAAATTAGATATAAAAGTAAGGTGAAAGTAAGATAAAGATAAAAGAAAGATAAAAAAAAGATAAAAAAAATAATAAAAAAAATCAAAGATCAGAAAGAGACTAAAAACTGATTTAACTTAATTAAAATTTATTAAAAAACTAATTAAAAACTGAGAGATCTTTTTATTTATATTTATAGCTAATTAGCTATCAAAAGTATATAAAAATATATAAAATTATATAAAAATTATATAAAAATTATATAAATAAAACAGGATCAAGAATAATAGAATTAGTAATTAAATAAAGACTAAAATAATTAATAAAAATAAGATCTCTTGCTCTGCTGCAGGATAAACAAAACTTAAAATTATTAATCTATTAACTAATAGTCTAAGACAGTTAACTAGTCTGAGACTGCAAATTAGTAAGTCTTAGACAGCAAACTGGTAAGTCTTAGATAGTTAACTGGCGAGTCTTAGGCAGTGAACTGGTCAGTCTATCTATATTATTAATATATTCCCGCAGTTTTAATAAGATAAAATATCAGAAAAAACTAAAGTAAACAAATTGCTAAAAATAGAAAATAATAATAATAGAATTTAATAAATTATTATATTTAACTATTTAATAAATTAAATATATTTCTGACTAAGAAACTACTTAGTCAGGCCATCTGCTTGTATTTTATTAATAGATATTTATTAAATATTAATTATTTTATTCAGGGCTTCTTGCCTTAGCTAATAATTAATAATATTAATATATTTCAGACTAGTCCAAAAGAGGAAATTCTTATCAGTAAGAATTTTGACTGTTTAATAATTATTATATAATATAAAGAAGTATTGATTAGGATTAAATCCTATTTATTTAAAAAATCTTCTTTATTAAAGAAGTTGCTTGGCTACAGCAGTTAGGACTAATAATTCAGCTTCAGTAGTTAAAAGAGTCACATGACGCTGTTTCTTACTTAGCCAATCAATAGGGCTATTGAATAAGTAAATAATATACCCCTAGAGTGGCTTAACCTGACTGTTATATCTTAATCTTAACCTGGCCATAATCTAGTGATTAGATTAAGATATAAAAAATTTTTAACTATATAGTTAAGATTAGATTAAGATATAATTATTATTATAACTATTTATATTTATCAATCAAAAAAATCAGATATAGCAGATAGATTAATAACCGCAGATTAATTTATAATATATATATTTTTCTTATATAAATAATATATAAAGTATAATATATATTTAATTATAGTATAGATATAATAATATTCTTTAGATATAGTCTACTATTTAATCTGCTTAACTAATTATATTAAGAGATATATTATATTTTAAAAAAGACTTTTATAGAATCTAATATAAAAAAAATAAAAAAAGATATAGAATATTTATTCTTTATATTATTTAAGATAATAATTATAATAATATAAAAATTATAAAGACCAGGTCTTTATCTTTATCTAAATATATATAATAATCAAAGACTTAGATAAGACTAGTTCTTCTAATTTTAATAATAATTTATTCTCTGAATTATCTTTAAGATTATTTATATTCTTATTCTTATTAATATAAAAAATAATAATTATTTTATTCTTCTCTTACTTCTTAAATATAAAGATAATTAAATCTGAATTAAGATTATTAAGTATATTCTAATATTTCTTACTTATAATAAAATAATTAATATATATTTAAAGTATAACTACTTTAATTATATCAGAATTAAAACAGCTCCGGTGATAGTAGCAGATATCTTAAGAACTATTAAAAAAATATTTAATACTAATATTATTAATTATAATTAAGAGAAAATCTCTAGTTATTTAATAAAAAATAGAAAACTAATCACAGCAGGATTTTTAATAAATAAAAATATTAATATATTCTATAATATTTAAAATTATATTAATTTAATCAAAGATATCTTAAAAAGTTATATATCTTTAATATCTAGATATATCTTAAGTTTTTTATATATCTTAACTGCGGATGAGGGTCTCTGATATTTAAAAATATTATAAAAGATCTTATTCAGATCTAATAATAATCTGAAGATTATTAATAATATATTAATTACTAAATTTTAATTAAAATAAAAAGAGAATATCTTTTTAAAAATAGTTTAATATTTATAATATTAGTTAATATTCTTATTTAATTATATATCTTTTTTAAATTTCTCGAGCTTTAATATTAAATCTAAAATAATTATAATTATATAGATATAGTCTTCTATTTAATAAATATAATAATAATATTTTCAGAGCTTTTAATATATATTATATAAATTCTCAAGAATCTTCTTTTTTCAGAGTATGTGCTTTCTTTCTAGTCTATTAATTAAATAATTTAGATAATTAAAGAGATTATTATAGATATTATAAATCTTATAAATAATAGGCCCACTATTCTCAGAGAGATAGAAAATAAAAAAAAAAAAATATAAAAACTTAAGAAGATATTCTATCTATTTTTACTCTATTATAATAAAATAAAAATAATTAATATTATTATACTTACAATACTAAATAAAACTTTTAATTACTTAATAAAGTTTAAGTATCTAATAAATTATAAAATAGATTAAGTTTCAGTAGATTTTATAATTAAGAAAAAGATAATAGATTAAGTTAGATTTAAATTATTAAATAAATAAGAACTTTTTATAATATTAAGAGCTTATATTTATAAATTATATAATTTTCTAAATTTATAATTAAGAATTAGTATAATAAACTAGCTGATAAAAGATTTTTAGAAATTTTTTATAAAAAAAGATTCTATATTAGTTTTTTATAGATAACTTCTAGAATATATTTTTTTAAAAATTCTTAAAATATTAAAAGAGATTTTAAGACTTTTATTATTATTTTTTTATATATATTTAATAATATTATTCAAGATCTTAATCTAAAGTTTCTATAGAAGAATATTAATTATAAACTAAATTATATAAATAAGATAGAGAATATAATACTGACTTTAAATAATCTTTAAAAAATTAAAGTTAACTAAAATATTATAAAGCTAAGTATTCTAATTAAGTTAAGTTTAAAGTTTAGCTAAGATTATATTAAATATTATATTATTATTACTAGTATTATCAGTTATTATATCTAATAATTAATAAATAAGATTATATTTATATAAGACTAATAGAATAATTATAGCTAGATTCTTATTAATATAAGATTTAGATATTAATTAAAAGTCTAGTAAAATCTTATAATAGTCTATATCTTTTATTAAAAAATATTTAATTAAATTAAGAAATATTTTCTGATCAGAGCTAATTTAATAGTTTATTATAATTAATATTTATCTAATATTCAGAAATTTTAATAGCAGCTGTATATATATTTTTTTAAACAGTTTTATAAAATATTCTTTAATCTATATTTAATTAGAAGAACTTGATTTTCAGTAGAAAGATAAAACAGTAAGATTAATTATTTATTTAAATTAAATATATTTAATAATTCAGAATAGTAGATAATAAATAATTATAAAATATAAAACTTAATTCTGAAAATCCTGTTTATTATAAATTATAGAGATTTAGAAAAAAATAATAATTAAAAAAGATTTATTTTAAAAGAATAGATAAATATCTATAATAACTCTTTATTCAGTATCTGACTAATTATTTACTTAGATATAATTAATAATAATTTTTTTTTATAATTCTTGCAAAGATAATAGTTTATAAAACTAGTTTCTAAGTTTTTAATTTTTAAGTATTATAAAATATAAAGATATATAATATAATAGATATAAGAGATTTTATTAAAAAATAATATATCTTTCTAAAAGCTGTTTTATATTATTAATAATTTTTTTTAATTAAAGTAAAATAATAGTTTTTTAATTTATATACAGTCTTTAGAAAAGATTATCTTCTGTTATTAATTCTAAAAAATAAAGAGCTTTTTTTAAAAAGCTGGATATAGAATAATCTTCTGATTTCTTATAATATATATAATCTTAAGATTTAGAAGAGAAGAAAAGATCTGACTTAAGAAATTTATCTTAGTTTAAGTATTATTATAATTTATAAAGATCTGAGAAATAAAAGAAAAAAACTTGATAATATTCTCTAAAAATAAATTAAATAATTATAATTAATTTATAATTCTAAAGCTATTTTATAAATAATAAATATAAAAAAATAGAAGCAGAAAACTCTGTAAAAATAGTTTATTTTATTTTAAAATATAATTTTATATAAATATAATTTATTATATTTTAATATACAGCTAAGATACTTACTATATTTTATTTATTTTAATAGATTTAGCAAGCAGAAATTTATATCTAAAATCTAAAATTATAGAATAGTTTCTTTTTTTAAACAGAGCTGCTTAAAATATAATAGATTAAAATAAAAAATAGATATTTATAAAAGAGATTTATAAAAAACTTTTATAAAATTTTTTATAAGAGCTGTAGTATTATAATATAGATCTAGTATATTTTATTTATTTATTCTATCTATTTAATCTGTTTAATCTATTTGATTTATTTAATCTATTTAATTTATTTTATTTTAATAATCTAATTATTTATAATCTTCTTAACTGCCTGCTAGTTTTTAATTTTGTTAATAGCTCTTTAAGCTATATCTTATTTATAAATCTAAGAATAGCCTGATTCAGAAGAAATAATAGAATAAAAATAATATATTTATTTCTAGTATTTTAATTAATAATTAATATATAATTTTTCTAGTATTTTATAATATAATTAAGATATACAGCTAAAACAGAGCAGTAATTATATATTTTTATATATATTTTTTATTATAAGAATAATAATTTTATAAAAAGCTAAATTTTATTAATATAACTAGAATTTTCTTATTATTTTTAATAAATAATAATAAAAAAGATACTAATTTCTTTTTTAGTTATATTTTTTTAATCTAAAAAGCTTCTTTTTATATATTTTTAGATAATAATAAAAATAGTCAGATTAATAATTATTTAATCTGAATATATCTTAATTATACTAGAGCTTAAAAAAATATAGCAGATAGATCTTAATATTAAGAATAATTAAAATAATTAATCACCCGGTTTTTAGCTATACCGCGGTCAGATATAAAAATTTTCTTAATCTAATCATAATCTAGCAGTTAGATATAAAAATTCCAATTAACCTGATCTGACCTGGCTGTTAGCCACTCTATATACCCCATTAAGCTAGCTCGATCTTGATTATCAGCAAAACTAGCATCACTGGCCATATAAAATAAAATAGAGCTAGAGCTAAATTTAATAGCCAAGTCCTTTGTTTCTTCTAAATAAAAGATTAAATAATCCACAGTCCTGAGATATTTAGGACTTAGATTAATTAAATATTCTAAAATTAACTAATATAATTTAATAATATCAGGCCTAGTCTAAACTACAGAATATAGAGCTGATTTTATTTTCTGCTGAAATTTATAAATTTAATTAGCAGTAATCTAATAGAATAGATTCTTTATTAATTTCTTACTTAGAAGTAGGGATTTAGAGCTTTTTCTTTACTCTAAATTAAATTTATTAATAATCTTATTAATATAGTTTAATTATTAAATCTATAACTTTCTATTTAGACAATTATATAAGATTTAAATATTAAGAAATAAATTAATCTCTTTAAGATCTTTGAATTTAAATAATATTATTAATTCTTACTTGAATTTATTAAATTTTTGATAATTTAATTTATAAAACACACAAATTATATTATTTATAAAAATTATTAAAATTATAAATTTATTAATAAAAATATATTAATTTTTCTAAATAGACTTAAGCCCTAGAACTATTAGTCTCTGTTTCAGGATATTTTATTAAAGAAATAATAAATATCTTAATCTATATAAAGCTTTTTATAATAGAAAAACTATTTATTTATTTTCTAATCCAGAAATTAGATTTATATAGATTTTCTTCTTAATAAGATTATTAAGAAAGACAGTAATTATATTTAATTAGTTGATTTTTAGATCAAATATAGTAATTAGAGTTAAAAAAATCTATATAAATCTGATCATAAGAATACTAGCATATATTTCTAATTAATTAAATATCTATAAATTATTTCTAATATAAATTCAGATTTTAAAATCAGTTAGATAATTAGTTTTATTAAATTTATATAAAAATATCTATTTTAATAATAATACTTCAGCTTTATTAATTTTATAAATTAAATATATATTCTAAGTATTTAGAGCTTCTAATTAATTAATTTTAGTTTTAATAGTCTGAGTAAATTAGCTTGAAAATATATGATTTCTTATTTCTTGTCAGTTAATAGACAGAGATAAAAGTAATAAGAAATTAATATAAAGAATTTTACTTTTATTAATATAATTAATTATTATTTAAATAATTTAAAGAGTGAGCCTAGTTTTTTTAAAATTAGAATTTAATAATTCTGAGCGGGTCTGTTTCAGATCTCTAATTAATTTAATATCTAAGAATTCAGTTTTATTAATCAGCTTATTAATATTTAAATTATTAATAAGAATCTGAGATAATAAAGAAGATAGATCAGATAATAAAGATAATAAATTCTCTATAATTATATTATTATTTTATAAGATATTTAACTAATCGCCTGAGACTACTAATTAGCTTAATTTAATAATTAACTAATCTGAGATTACTAACTGATCTTATTCTAATTAATTATTTAATAAAAATTTAGATATTTGTTTTAATATTTCTGAATTAGAAAGATTCTTATCTATATTAAATTTTTTAGATTCTTCAGAAATAGAGATATCTGATTATTCTAACTAAATAAAATTAACTAATTTAATTATTTCTTGCTTTATTAATAGATTTCCGAATTCAGTATATTATTTATAATTAAAATTTTTATTAAAAATAATATCACGAGCTGAAATTACTCTTTTAAGAATAGATACCCAGATCTATTAAATATTAGTTATCTAATAATTAATCAGATAACTAATTAGAACTCTAAGCTCTAGTTTATCTTCTTTAAGCTAGAGTGGCTTAACCTGACTGTTATACCTTAACCTTAACCTGGCCATAACCTGGCGGTCAGATTAAGATATAAAAAATTTTTAATTATATAATTAAGATCAGATTAAGATATAATTATTACTATAATTATTTATATCTGCCGGTTAGAAAGATTAGATATAGTAGATAAATTAATAATCACAGATTAATTTATAATATATATATTTTTCTTATATAGATAATATACAAAGTATAATATATATTTAATTATAGTATAAATATAATAATATTTTTTAGATATAGTCTACTGCTCAATCTGCTTAACTAATTATATTAAAAAATATATTATACTCTAAAAAAGACTTTTACAGAATCTAGTATAAAAAAAATAAAAAAAAATATAGAATATTTATTTTTATATTATCTAAGATAATAATTATAATAATATAAAAATTATAAAGATTGGGTCTTTATCTTTATCTAAGTATATATAATAATTAAAGACTTAAATAAGACTAATTTTTTTAATTTTAATAATAATCTATTCTCTAAATTATCTTCAAGATTATTTATATTTTTATTCTTACTAATATAAAAAATAATAATTATCTTATTTTTTTTTACTTTTTGAGTATAAAGATAATTAAATCTAAATTAAGATTATTAAGTATATTCTAATATTTCTTACTTATAGTAAAATAATTAATATATATTTAAAATATAACTGCTTTAATTATATCAGGATTAAGATAACTTTGATAATAATAATAAATATCTTAAGAATTATTAAAAAGATATTTAATACTGATATTATTAATTATAATTAAGAGAAAATCTCTAGTTATTTAATAAAGAATAGAAAACTGATTATAGCAGGATTTTTAATAAACAAGAATATTAATATATCTTATAATATCTAGAATTATATTAATTTAATTAAAGATATCTTAAGAAGCTATATATCTTTAATATCTAGATATATTTTAAGTTCTTTATATATCTTAACTGCAGATAAGAATCTCCGGTATTTAAAAATATTATAAAAAATCTTATCTAGATCTAATAGTAACTCAAAGATTATTAATAATATATTAATTATTAGATTTTAACTAAAATAGAAAGAGAATATTTTTTTAAAAATAGTTTAATATTTATAATATTAGTTAATATTTTTATCTAGTTATATATCTTTTTTAAACTTCTTGAGTTTTAATATTAAGTTTAGAATAGTTATAATTATATAGATATAGTCTTTTATTTAATAGATATAATAATAATATTTTCAGAGCTTTTAATATATATTATATAAGTTTTTAAGAATTTTTTTTTTTTAGAATATCTGCTTTTTTTTTAGTTTATTAATTAAATAATCTAGATAATTAAAAAGATTATTATAAATATTATAGATCTTGTGAATAGTAGGCCCACTATTCTCAGAGAGATAGAAAATAAAAAAAAAAAAAAGATATAAAAGCTTAAGAAGATATTTTATCTGTTTTTATTTTATTATAATAAAATAAAGATAATTAGTATTATTATACTTGCAGTACTGAATAAAATTTTTAATTATTTAATAGAATTTAAATATCTAATAAATTATAAGATAGATTAAGTTTCAGTAGATTTTATAATTAAGAAGAAGATAGTAGACTGAGCCAGATTTAAGTTATTAAATAAATAAAAATTTTTTATAATATTAAGAATTTATATTTATAAATTATATAATCTTCTAAATCTATAATTAAAAATTAATATAATAAACTAGCTGATAGAAGACTTCTAGAAGCTTTTTATAAAAAAAGATTTTATATTAATCTTTTATAGACAGCTTTTAGAATATATCTTCTTAAAAATTCTTAAAATATTAAAAGAGATTTTAAGACTTTTATTATTATTCTTTTATATATATTTAATAGTATTATTTAAGATCTTAATCTGAAGTTTCCGCAGAAGAGTATTAATTATAAACTAAATTATATAAGTAAGACAGAGAATATAATACTAGCTTTAAATAATCTTTAAAAAATCAGAATTAACTAGAATATTATAAAGCTAAGTATTTTAATTAAGTTAAGTTTAAAATTTAACTGAGATTATATTAAATATTATATTATTATTATTAGTATTATTAGTTATTATATCTAATAATTAATAGATAAGATTATATTTATATAAGACTAATAGAATAATTACAGCTAGATTTTTATTAATATAAGATTTAGATATTAGTTAGAAGTCTAGTAAAATTTTATAATAGTCTATATCTTTTATTAAGAAATATTTAATTAAATTAAAAAATATTTTTTAATTAGAGCTGATTTAGTAGTCTACTATAATTAATATCTATCTAATATTTAGGAACTTTAATAATAACTATATATATATCTTTTTAGATAGTTTTATAAAATATTCTTTAATCTATATTTAATTAAAAAAACTTAATTTTTAACAGAGAGATAAAGCAGCAAGATTAATTATTTATTTAAATTAAATATATTTAATAGTTTAAAATAATAAATAACAGATAATTATAAAATATAAAACTTGATTCTGAAAATCCTGTTTATTATAGATTATAAAGATCTAAAAAAAAATAATAATTAAAAAAGATTTATCTTAAAAAAATAAATAAATATCTATAATAATCCTTCACTCAGTATCTGACTAATTATTTGTTTAGATATAATTAATAATAATTTCTTTTTATAATTCTTACAGAGATAATAACTTATAGAACTAGTTTCTAAGTTTTTAATTTCTAAATATTATAAGATATAAAAATATATAATACAGTAGATATAAGAGATTTTATTAAAAAATAATATATCTTTTTAAAAATTATTTTATATTATTAATAACTTTTTCTGATTAAAGTAAAATAATAATTTTTTAATTTATATATAATCTTTAGAAAAGATTATCTTCTGCTATTAATTCTAAAAAATAGAGAGTTTTTTTTAAAAAGCTAAATATAGAATAATCTTCTAATTTCTTATAATATATATAATCTTAAGATTTAGAAAAAAAGAAAAGATCTGACTTAAGAAGCTTATCTTAGTTTAAATATTATTATAATTTATAAAGATCTGAGAAATAGAAGAAGAAGACTTAATAATATTCTTTAAAAATAAATTAAATAATTATAATTAATTTATAATTCTAAAGCTGTTCTATAAATAATAAATATAAAAAGATAAAAACAGAAAATTCTATAAAAATAGTTTATTTTATTTTAAGATATAATTTTATATAAATATAA